GAAATATATCAAAAAAAGTCAAAATTGCCCCAAATTTTAAAATAGAGTTTGAAATACTGTCACAAGGCCCCAGAAAAAAATTTGGGCCCAAAATCAAAAAAAAAATTATTTTGCCGAGTGCCATGAGGGGCACTGGGCAAAGTTGATTTTCAAAAATAAAAAAAAATTTGCCGAGTGCCTGGCACTGGCACTCGGCAAAATAAGTTTTAAAAAATTAAAAAAAAAATTTGCCGAGTGCCCAAGGCTTACACTCGGCAAATATATGTTTTTAAAAAAAAATTTGCCGAGTGCCTGGGTCTGGCTCTCGGCAAAATAAGTTTTAAAAAATAAAAAAATTTGCCGAGTGCCTATCTCTGGCACTCGGCAAAATATTTTTTTTAAAAAAAATTGCCGAGTGCCATGGGCTGGCACTCGGCGAAATATGTTTTAAAAAAATTGCCGAGTGCCTGGGGCTGGCACTCGGCAAAATAAGTTTTTACAAATAAAAAAAAAAATTGCCGAGTGCCAGCCGTTAGGCACTTGGCAAAATCTGACGGCAGGTGGCCGCCGTCACGGGCCGGCCACCTTTTGCCGAGTGGGATCTTTGCCGAGTGCCGCGGCACTCGGCAAAGCCCAGTTTTGCCGAGAGCCAGGCCTTACCGAGTGTCTGGCACTTGGCAAAGCCACCTTTGCCGAGTGCTTTATTTTACCGAGTGCCCCGATAAAAAGCACTCGGCAAAGTCCAGTTTTCCAGTAGTGTTGCCCCAAAATTGAACTCTAAGGGCATGAACGTTCATGAGACCATTTTGGTTCAATTTGTTATGCTCCATCTTCTGCCTGAATTTGGGCCGTTCGTAGTGATTAGTGAATTATATATGATAACCTTAAAGATAAGCGGAACATGGAAGAAGCCAAAGCAATGTTGATTCTGGGGGAAGGGAGATTAAAGAAACTTGTAATAAGACGGTCTGATTCCCTTTTTTGTGGATGAAGCCATATCGTACCTCCATTAGCTTGAAAAACGTGCAATCTGCATGAGGCCTGTGGTAGCTAGTTATATTTTTGCTTTCACTATCGATTTGTTTTTCAGAGTCATCAGGTTCGTGGCTAAAACCAGCGATAATTTCACTCTGGCTCTATAGGTTCTCAATCATTATAAGGTAGTTTTAGAACTGCGAGCAATTATACTTGCTGTTTCTTTAGTAGCAACAGTTACAGTCATAACATTTCCACTAGCTTCATTGAACATACATCCCACCGATTGAGTTAGCTACAGGATAAGAATTTAAATAATTCAATTTTGTTTTGTTAATTTTTAAACTTGCTTTGTAGGCTCAAGTGGACCACCGAGTGATTCAGTCAGATATGCTTTACTTGGCAGTTGCAATTCATTGCTATCATAATGGAAATAAACATTTCTTATGGATGAGCTCAGCATAAATGTATACGCTTGCCATCTTTTGTCAATTGAGTTCATTGATTCGATTAGTGACCAGAATCTAACAGTATATTGATAATTGAAAGCTTTTTTTCATTGGAAGCCAAGCAACTCACAATTACCTTGGAGGTTAAGTTCTGCGAGGGAAACACATATTTCCTTGGAGGCTCCACCAGGGACATAGGTATTAGCGTGGTAGTCTGGAACATTTGCTATAAAATTTTGAGTTCCTATCCCTGCCAATTTTGTCTCCGCGAGGATAATTTCTTAGTCTGAAATTTTATTATCAAATCGGGCACACATTTAATCATGATCGAACTCCTGATCCAATTTGTTGCCATAGCTAGATCCCGTTGCATTGGCCCGATGGGTTGACTAAGGTTGAGCCTGAGCCGGCATAGGCCCTTGCACCGTAGGTTAGGTCTTGCCTGGCTTGGACACGAATACCAAGGAAGCATTTCATTGGTAGGTGTGCCAGTTGATCCCACTTTTCATTGAGGATCGGGTCCCCCTTTTATAGGCTACAGTTACATACATGCATCTACATGTACGCAATTGCACCATGCTAGCTGGAGCATATTGCAGCATATTAACCCTTCTACCGATTACATGGCATAATCAATGGCCTGGACGACTTTTACATGCACAACCGCCTTACTAAATGGGCCCTTATCGAGCCATGGCACCAGCCCGCCAGGCTGCTTTACCCCGAGTGTCACCAATGCGAGGGTTGCCTTCTTTACCAATTGGGAAATTGGTAGGTGCAGTCCGTTGAAGAGGTACATAGACGAACAGTTGCGTTGCCACATAATTTCTACCCTAGTCAAGAATAAGGTTTGGATCTAACCACTGTGGCATGTGAGGTCGTGGTGCAGAGTATATTGGGGCTATTTAGGCCCAAGTGACAAATTATGGCAAGTTTAGAGATCTAGATGACACATTGAGACAAGTTCAAGGACCTAAAAATATTATTTTAATAGTTTGGGATCTAGATGACACACGAAGACGTTTAATGACCTAAAAATGCATTTTATGAATTTAGGGACCTTAATGACATCCCTAAACAAGTTCAGGGACTGCATGTGTGTTTTACTCTGGCCTGAAGTAGAACCACCTCTGAGAAGACAGGGCACAAGAGTTTAGCTAAAAACATTGAAGGTTACAAGTACAGATTTGACATGGAAAAGTAGACTGGTAAATGCATAAATTTTTGAGGACGTTCATTTGTATTTCACTAGAAAAGAATGGTCAGTGCAGGATTGTTCAAAGCATCAAGTATTTTATTTGGTGGGCATCAAAGTCTGAGTATTGAAAAAGAATTGAATGTCCAGAAATCAATAAATGTAATAATGCACTATGTTCAGGGCTCATATAAGTTCAATATATCCTAGTGACTCAATGTGACATGTCTTCAGTCTTTATAATACTCTATCTTTTATAACCATATTGACTACAGAAGGCTTGCATGCATGGTACCTTGGATCTCATCATAGCGCATCAATTACAACACCGTACCTATGTTAATTTTCTCATTATAGCTAGTGAAATTCAACAAAAAGAGGTTGAAGATTTTAAGTTTACACCATACTGAATTTAATTTGATATCATCTGAGTTAGGTGCCTTCACTGCCCATGGAATGATTCAGAATTCGAATTTTGGGAACATGAAAAGAGAAATGAATGGGAATGCATGTACGGAGTTTGCTTGGTTTTTCTCGACGTTCACCAGGGACCTCGCGCTGCCACCATCATCACAGTTCGTAGACTTGCTGCGTGCGTGTTTGCCTGATACGACCCGCTTCCGTCGGCATTGGCCGCTTTTGCCTCCCATTTTTCTGGTAGCTTCTTCGCTCCTGCCTCCAATCATACCTATCAAAACAGGAAACCAGCTAGTGTAGTTCCTTGCACTTGGCCTGCCTGTGCGCCAGCCTCCTATACATTATCGTCGTGGAGAAACATATATTACATATACTATATATATACTACTACCCTTTACAAATTAATATTATGTTCCTTATCCTATTAGTTTAATTTGGTGAAGTTGCTCCCGTTTACAACCTGGGCGCTGAGGGTAGGAGCTTAAAGACATAATAGTCTCTGATTTTAAAAAAAGATAAAACAATTAGGTAATTAGGTCCTGTTTCATCTTTATAGCTACTATAATAGTTTGTTGCTAATAATTAGCTCATTTGGATCCAAACAGGTCAAGCTAATTGTCAAGCTAAAAATTAGCTGAATACCCAACCAACACCTATCTCACTAATTAGGTCAAACCAGCTAATAGTTAGCTAGCTGATATTATCTATGACCTATTAGCTAGCTAACTATTAGCAGGTAATGGATCCAAATAGACCCTTCGTATCACTACAAAAAAGATAATCATTGCCACCCCATCACTATCAATTATAAACTAATTGGTGGCGAAAAATTATCACTGTCAGTTCCAACGCCTATAAGTTGAACATTGATTGTTGTACTTGATAACTACCAGTGAAAACAAATATCAGTACCAAGTTGTTGGTTGGACCTGGTAGTGATATGTCACTTCCAGTTTCAACCACCAAACGTCGGTGATGTTGACCCATCATTGCCGGTTTCTGGTTACAACCACTAATGACACTACTAAAAAAAGATTTTGGAAGATAGCTGCTAGGATAACAGTGACAGGCATAGAATGGTGCTGCCTCTGTAAATGGACAGGCGTCCAAGAATAAACGCCCATCTCCACCAGGCGTCGTCAAGACTAGTCCTTGTGTGTCCCTATGACTACTAAGTAGGTGTATGTGGTGCCTAATCCATGCATGTTATCGAGCTATTGCTCGATCCTGGAGCTCCATGGCACAAAAGCGAAGGGGCACGCTCCGGCGGCTGATGCACAGCGCTACCCTTGCTAGAGGGTTGTGGGCATTGATGCCACCGCCCTAGCCATTGCAGCTGGTGACAGGGATGGTATGCACAAACGGACAGTGCTTTGCAAAGGTGTCAACAATCTCAACATTTCCCTCGCAAAGATGAAGTCTGTACTGTTTTATATAGGGCATGCTAATAATGGTGCAATTCATCTGACTTATAAATCCACACTTTGTCACTATGGGCAAAAAAAACGACATGAAAAAGATGTTATCCTATTAAAGATATATGGCGCGCCGAATCGGCGGCCTCTCAGGGTATCCACGTACGTTCTTTTTATTTGGTGCGTTAGATAGAAATTCCACGGCTTAGATGAGACGCGTCACAGCCATCCTTCATACATCCTCTCCGTACTACCGTCAGCTAAAAACAAGTTGGACAGATAGACGCATTTAATGTCTCTCCTTTTACTCACCGACCATGCTGGTACGCTCGGCACGGGATGGACCACCGACCATGCACCGACCGGCATGGCTCCACCGTGATCCTCTCATGTAAAATGGTGCTCCTTCCTCTTTCTCTCTCGTGTAAATGGCAGGCGGCAGCAGCTCCGCTCCTCCCCTCCTCTCTCTCCTCTCCGCGCTCTCGCTCTCTCCCTCGCTCCTCGTCGCGACCGCTTGAGGCTCCCCGCACTGTGCACTGGCAGTGAAGCGGCGTCCCCGCACGCGGCGCCATGGTGCGCTAAATCAACGCTGGTGGCTGCGGCGCGTCCGAGCCCCTGCTCTCCCCGGCGCTGCCTCGTCCCTCCGGTCCGCGTGTGCTCGACGAAACCCTAGTTGCCTCTTCCTCGCCGTCGGCGGCAGCGTCGACGAAACTCGGCGCCTGGATCTGGCGGTACCTCACCCTCTTCTTCTCCTACCCCAACGCGGGCTGCCCCCGGAGCGGCGGCGGGCGTCCTCTTCTTCTCCTCCCCCAACGCTGGCGGCTCCGGAACACCCGCCTTCCTATCGCGTCCCCTCTTCTTCCTCCACCTTCCTCTCTTGTCCCCTTCACCCCTTTCTGGCTTTTCTCTCCTCCCCGCGTCCCCGACTCCTGCCCGAATTCGAGATCCCGGAGGCAGCTTCCCAAGGGCTCCTACGCTCCGCACGCTGGATCAAACCATCGTGCTCTCGTGAACCCCCCCCCCCACCCCAAAACCCAGCCGGACCAAGCCCTGTTCGCCGTGAGCGTGGTGCCCAGGCCGGGCCAGATCTGCACCGACACCGCTACGCCTATCACGAGGTACAGAGGCCGAGCTAAACCCCTCGGATCTGCTCGCTTAGGCAGCCCTCTCCGATGTATTGCCGCTGATTTGCTGAAAATGGCGTGGTCACTGTAGGTGGATGCTCTCGTGATCTCTTGGAGGCCGCAGGGACTGAGCGGCATCTCGGCGGAGGCGTGGCCTGCGAGCTGGCTGCCTGCCGAGATGCAACGGAATGGGGTGGTGGAATGCAGCGTTTGCCGCTCCCGGGTGGTAGTGCCGAGCCCCCAGAGCGTGTCCAGGGCATACGACAAGCACCGCAGCAAGATGTCATCCAAGTTCCGCGCGCTCAACGTCTTCCTCGTCATCGGTGACTGCATCCTTGTTGGCCTCCAGGTGTGTGCGCGCCTAAATGCTTCATTTTCAGTCCCAAGCGCGGGAGACCTTTGCACGATCAGTGTTTGAGTGAAATGGCCTCACGGATTTGGTACAGAAGTAATGCTTTTACTAGTACTGATGCCTCACATGCTTGACATGGCCCTTTGCTGTAGTGTTACGTTCACCTGAATAGCAAATGATTGGCCTCGGGGCGTTATGCTAATGTTTGACTTGGTTTATGCAGCCCATCCTAGTGTTCAGTGGTGGATCCACGGGCGGGGCCCCCCGTGAGAGTGATTTTGCTTTGTATTTACTGTAGAAAAAACATGATTTCACCATTAATCTTCGATATTTGTTCTAAATCTCTATTGATTAGCCCCCGAGGTGCTCATCTTGGCTCCGCTAATGCTAGTGTTCGTGTCAAAGGTTGATGGGAAGTTTTAGTTCAGTCCCGTCAGTGTTAACTTTCTGACGGAGGTTATGAAAGGCATCTTTGCTATTGTGATGCTCATAATTCAGGTTTGTTCTTGTTGCTTTCTTGCTGATGTTTTCCCTTTTTGCAAGCATTCTGACTCGAGGTGACTTTAGAAATGAAGAGTGATCCATTTTGCGTGAGCTATTTTCACATGTTAGTCTGATAACATCTATGATCTCCTAATAAGCAGCCCACTGAGAACTCTTATGACCTTTCAAAAAAAATTTGAGAACTCTTATGATTTGTGGTTCTGGAGTAAGGATCAGAGGACTAAGTGTTTACACGCAAAAGGAAATGGGACAAAAGGGTTTGTCGAACAAAACATGAAGCCATCTTTCCTAGCAGTTAATGCCTTCTAAAATGTGGAGTGGCACTCTTGCTTGGTCAGTCCAAGTAAGCTGTTTTCCGTGTGCGCAGATTAGCTTAGGATTTTGTTAGTATTCCTCCACACTGCGGATTTTCATGGTGTCTGGTGGATGTACCGAATTACAGTTACTCTGCAGTGTTTTCTCTTTAGTTTGTAGTAAGTAGTATTATGTTCATAATTTCTTATCTGTTAACCTTTTTTTGCTTTGTTGTTCCAATGTGACAGTCTAGAAAGCAACAGGTTGGAGAAAAGCCACTTTTGGCATGTTCAACCTTCATACAGGTGATTTATCTACCACAAGATATATTGCACTTTGATATGTATTGTTGCTCCATATTTATTTTTTGCTACATTGTCTGATTATTTGGAAGGGCAGGCCTGGTGCAGTGGTGAGAGCTGTCTCACTGAGTCACCAGGTCGTGGGTTCGAAGTACTAGGTCTCCGGCTTGCCTCGGTTTTTCCCTTCCCCAGACCCCACTCATGTGTGAGCCTCCGGCACTAGGTCTGCCCTACATTGTCTGATTATTTGATCATTCACTATTTGGTTTTGTAGGCAGCCCGTAATGTAAGGATATGCATAACGAACTGCACAGCTCATAAAAGCTGACTGATTTTGTGTAGAACATTAGAATTTAAAGTATTTACTAATGGTTAGTAGGGGGGGGGATGTGAATCTACCTTTCTCTGAGGCAAACACGATAGGTATGTTGTCTGCCTTATGTTTATGATGATTACATTGTCCTGTCTTTTTGCAGGGCCAGAAAGTTTTAATATTCTTCGAGGGCATTCAAGGGCCACAATGTTTGTCATATGTAACAATGCTGCACAAGGCATTCTATCTTCATTCTTCTTTAAGTATGCAGGTAATGTTTTTTGGCATTTGCTCTTTATTATTATTGCAGTTATCACATCTATTGTCTAACTGAAATACACTGCAGACACAATTTTGAAGAAGTATTCGTCAACTGTTGCCACAATATTTACTGTCCTCGCTTCTGCTGCATTCTTGGGGCATACCTTGACCATTAATTTTGTCCTGGGCATATCAGTGGTGTTTATTTCAATGCATCAGGTAAACTGACCTTTTTTATTACTTTTTTTGTTGAACAACCATTGTTCTATTTCATGTATCTTTCTGTCATTTCTCCTTAGTTCTTCTCTCCACTTGCTAAAGTCAAAGATGACAAACCAGCTTACTTAATAGAGTTGGAAGATACCCAAAATCACCGGTAAGTTTTTATCTCGCTTCAAATGGTATTAACAAATTACTCCAATACTTGATTTAGGTTTCACTTAGCATTGGCCTTTGAAGAATTGCTGTTTTGCACTGTATCCATGATCTCCATCTAGACTTTTATAGCTTTGGCATGTGCTTTGGGATGCCTGTTAATGTTGTTGTAGAAATAGCAAGCTGTTTATTAAGTTTCTTTTGACATGTGGCCTCATGTGGTGCATATTTTTCACAGGTCATCTGAATCTTCTTTTGTAAATATGACTGCTGGTGCCGCTGATGATGTGAGTATCTCAGTTTCCATTTTAGAATAGATGTGTCATTTTAGAGGCTACATCTCATTTGGCTTCCATTTCAGGCGAGCCATCGGATTGGAACTGATGAGAGGCAACCGCTGTTGCCTACATGAGCTAGTTTCTTGAGGCATACATAGATTCTTGTAGCCATATTTCTACTGTGTTGCCCAGTTAACAGTTTGACATGGCAAATAGCTATATGCACGTAGTTTGCCAATTCAGTAAGGTGTATGATTATAGATATTTTACACAAGATAAATCGTGATTTTTTAGTGGATATTTGTCCGTGACAGCTCATTTTCTGTAGCAATTTACGAAAACAGATTGTTGCAAATTGATGGTAGAGGCACCAACTGCTGATCCATAGGCTCACATTGTTTTCGATATATGCTTGAAGATGAAAATAATCTGGTTAGCTGTACCTATTAGCTCGACATAGGTTGGCAGCTGTGGGCTAAAATATAAGATTTTGATTTCCACATGGGTTCTATATTTCTATGTGCAATATACTAAGGGAGACAAGTTTTCTGGAATATTTCTCTCTCTCACAAGCAAATGAACACCGGTTCTTTCTGTTCTGCAGGTAGAATAGGAAGACAACTTTTTTGCCGTGTGAGCAGCAGATTTCATGTAGCATTGTGAGTTGAATAAACTATTGTACACTGTAAAGCCAAAAGAAAGAAAGAAGTACCAACGTGTTCTCCATTTTTTCCTTTCATTTTTGGGATGAGGCCGGTGGCCGGCCATTAGTGGCCGTGGGAGTGACAGAGCAGCATACATTTTGATAGGCATATAATTCAATAGGGATTTTCCAGATACGATACTTGTAACAGAAAATTTCCCTGGAGCTGTATATGAACAACGGCGATGTGATAACCTTTTTTGTATGGAACCTTTTCTTTATACTATTGATTAATTGTTTTACTATTGTTACTACATTGTTACTTGATTCTCCAACCGTGTTCAGTGTTTGACTTTTGCGTAACCACGAAGTCTCTTTGGACATACTGTTGAAATGGGAACATCCATGTAAGCTGAATCTCGATTTTCACGGGAATTCCACTGCTACTGGGAATGAAGCCCCTCGCGGTAGAACAAGTCGCTCATGACGCTGTTGCCGACTGTATGTTAGGTGCACGCCGTCCCAGCTAATGTGCTCGTCAGGCCTCGCAGACACGGACGCTTTGGCCGCGCCCTTTTATCTGGTCCATGTCGAAGTTGTAGGCGCCTTGCCGCCAATGCCAGAAGACGCCCTCGGTCCGCCCCTCGTCGAACCCGCCTTGCGGCGTACCTCAGCATCCATGACGTATCGTGAGAAGTAGCCGGCGTAGTAGATGGTCGCGGACGGGTAGGACCGGCGCAGCTCTCGGATGCCCTGCTGCAGCAGCGCGTTGTGCATAGCGGAGGGTCAGAACGATTTCATGTGAGTAGTTGCAGCACCATCTCTTCATGGTTGTATGGAGGGACCCTGATTTCAATGCCTTTGGTCTCAAGGTTCAAACATGGTGTCCCTGTTGGCCTATGCATATTTTGAGTTCATATCAAACATTACTAACCGATTCTTTTGCAGGACCCAATGGCCCAACGAATTGCTATGTTGATGCTGAGTTTCTATATACTCCTTCATATGGTTAGGCCCTTTCACTTCTCACGTTCGTGCTATGAATTTTAGTATTTTGTGTGTGTTAAGGTTGTGATAGAGTCCCAACTGCATGCGGTCCTAATAAATTGGTGGATGAACCAAGCGTGGCGAAAATCCAATTGTCTCGAGTACTCCCAAGCGTGGATGAACCAGGCGTGGCGAGTTGGTGGATGCACCAAGCATCCCGGCTATGGGGCACTCTGCCTATTTAGTGTTAACACGAGTACTATTAGAACACATTTACTCAACAAGCATGATGTTTTAGATACAATTGGTCTTAACTTTACAACTAAAATAGTATCCAACATTGAGCATTGAGGTCCCTTTAAACATTTTGCTTCCATATGCTTACTTTTTCCATCATAATATCTTGTAGTTGCCCAGGTTAATCGAGGGGTAGCTTCTCCACTAGACGTATCCATGGACACCACCAAACTAACCCAGATGCTTGGTACCAAGCCAATCTCATTTCAAGATGGAGTCAGAAGTACACTTGATGCAGAAGCTAGTACATGACACTTCCTCAACAGTTTGCTTTACTTCCTAGGGAGTTGCTTGCATTCAAATATGAAAGTGTGACATAGAAAATCACATTTAATTTGTGAAATTTCAGTAACGGTAAATTTCTGTTGGATCTATGTGAAATATGTAACTTTGTACCTACTAGACACCAGTGGCATCATCGGTGTTACTGCCTAAATGTACTGTACCGTTACGAAAAAAATGACATTCATTTTAAATCGTTTTCCCCCAGCAGTATGTAACTGTATTGTGCATGTATATTACAATTTACAACTAATGTTACCATCATGTATTTTTTTAGAGCTTTAGGCCTTTGCCCGTCTTAGCATTAAACAAAGACAATAGCATTCAATTACAGCATTCAGGTAGATCTACCCTCATGTATTCTGTTTGGTTGGTATTTTTAGATTTGTTGCTGCCTAATATTTGGCTTTAATTTCTAACCCTACCTTGGTGAGTTATTTTTCTATATAGTGCATAGCCCTGTATTGGATTGAATAGAAGTGCTGGCTTTGCTACTGCATTACTCTTTCTTATCTTTTTAATGGAATGATACGCAACTCTCCTACGTGCTCGAGAAAGAAATATATGCTCCACCGTATAAATTGGAAGTTGTATAAATTTAAGTGTAAGTTTGGAAGGTGTATAAGCTCTCTGTGGTCCTAATTGAACATATAACTTTGGTCTGTCCAAATGAGTTCATAATTTAGAGCTTCTCACTATCTGACAAAGAGTACGGAAATAAGCATCGCACAAACCATTGAATAATCGGCAGACTCAGGTGGGTTACCAAAACCTTTTGTTTTACATTTGTTTTTTTACTATTTAGCTTGGATAAAAAATGTTAAAAAAAAGGTTAATACAAATAGGTGATAGGCATGACTAAGTTTGAGACGGCCAATAGGGCATTAGTATAAGTATTTGTCGCTTTTCCAGGTGGAGCAGCATTCTAGGAATCTCAGAGCTACCTTGTGACAAATTCAGGGAATTGTGTATTGTGTAGATATCAGAGACACCAGCACAAAAGAAAATACTAAAATAGTTATTCTGAAACAATGATAGGATTGCATGGGATACACATACATGCTAACAAGTATTATTGGGGGCAGCGAGTTTGGAAAACTACCTTCTAGATGAAAAATGACCTTATGAAGAAGCAAAGCCGTGACTTGTACTGATCTTCTGAAATGTTTTCTTTTCCTTATTCCCATTAACCTCAAAGTATGGGAGGACACGGTGGTAGCAGGCATATAACCATACAAATGCATTATCGCTGCCATATATATGGTCTAAGTACTACCACCTGAAACGGTTCCACAAAGAATGATACCCCACGGTAGAGTGAGTAAAAGTAGAATTGCATATTACAGCCACCATAGTATCCCTCGTAAATGTTAAAAGTGCAGCCCGTACGAACTTTATTTAGTTATTACTGAGCAAGGAACTCACATGGATACCCAGCACTGATACTATGCTAGGTACGTAAAAACTAAACCACAATGACAATTGCAAATGACCTTGCATCACAATATAGCTGGTATTGGAATTGCACCGCTATTTATTTGGTGAATGTAAGAAATAACTTAATTATGCGTAGTCAAGTTGTGGACAGGCCCTATGCCCTCGAAATTTAAATAAATCCGCGAAGCTTGAATATTTATTCAGCTCTTCTTATTTCAACAACTATCTCAGGGCCTCTCGTAGGGTAGCGGGCACATTACAAGGATATACAATATGATTGATGCCACCATAGTAGGAGTTAGGATAGCAAAGATGGTCATGGTGAGCTCATCTTCATCTAAGCACATCTTGAGAGTGTCGGCTTCTTGCTTCTAACAATGTACTTCGTCTCCTACAACTTGCAGCATTTATCTCAGGCTTCTTCTTAAAATGTTGAAATAGGTTGGCATTTGAATAGGGGGCTTATGCGGGTGATTAGTGTTGAGTGTGGAGTGTCTTGTTGTGAAGGGGGAGCTGGGGGCGTTTTATAGGCAATTGACGGCGGGTTTAGAGGGTGGGTGCGCGCCATTATCGGCGGCACTGAGCAGCATCGGGGGCTGAGGGAATCAGGTTTGTGGGGGACAACAGCGACAGCATTGGGCCAATGGAGGTGACATCATGAGCGGTGTCGTGGGGCGGTGGTGCGACGTGCGGTGGGTGGCGGTGTAGAAGAGACAGCGGTGTGATGCTGAGAGGATGGCACCAGTGTGCGAGAAAAGGAGCGTAGGTGGGTGGCCACTGGTGGTGCGTGTGGCTTTAATTTGCATGCGTTCTTAGGTCAAACATACAACTTAAAAATGAAAGCCTACACTATATTAGTGGGAGGTCTTTAATTTGTGAAAAAACGGCTTTAATTTGTTACCTCCTTTGCGATTCATTTCCAATCATAGCTGGTCTGCTTGCATCTGAACGGTTGCTTTTCTTGTAACCCGTTTGATTTTTGCCTCGAGAACCCTAAGTAAGTCTAACGAGGTCTAAGGGTAAATCGACATAACAAACACAACGGATAGAGCAAAATGCACGTCCAAAACGCCCTTATACGAGTACAACATACAAACACTCCCTCTCCCATTCTCGACACATCGTTTGGCTCCTACGACCTGATGATTCTTAACATCGACGGATGAAATACAATGGAAAGATTACAACACTAGAGGATGGCGATGAAAAGCACTACTAACTACGGGTACGTGTCCCCTAGGACAACTCATCTACTTTGTCGAACCAAACGGCTTCATTCCCGGACTTGGTTGGTTCTTCTTCTACACTGGCTAAGGATCTGTTTCCTCTTGTGGTGGTGGCTGAGTGAGGGGAACCAAGGACTCTACTTCTGATACCTTCAAGGGTGGAGGTGCTGGTGGTACTGCAACACAGGGTCTCCTTCTTTCCGATGGGTGGATAGGGATTACCTCCAAGACCAAGGGTTCCTACCTTTCTGTGTCAAGCGTC